AACGTTTATTGTAAGGTTTCATATTCTATTTTGTTATTCTATCTTTCCAGACCATTTTTGTCTGCCAAGAACAAAACACATCGTCATTGATTTTCAAGTAGCGTGTTTAATACACCAAATAAGAAGACAATAATTCGAAAAATAACAAAACAGAGGAGTTACTGTGAATAAAAATTATTAATATGATCAAAGATAACGATTTACATCTATTTAAAATAGTTAGCTTTTTAATTCGCCTAAAAGATGTGTGTGTTTATTTAAAATTAAACACTTTTATCAGAAATAAGTTTTATGATGTCGGAGATTGAAAGATTTTTACATCGCAAGCGGAAATAATTTTATCAAAACAAAATCGAGGCTTACTAATTGCAGGCATGTTCTTTCTGTAAAATGATTTTTCGTTTTAAAATTTCAGCTTACATACATCAGATAGCATTCCTGTGAGTTCATGATGTGTGATCGACTTTAAATTCATTGTACGTATATATGTATATGTGTGTTAATGGCTTACAGATTAACGTTTAATGACGAATTATTGTTTTGTTTTACGTAAAGTAGTTATGCTAAGGAAACTGTTTTCGATAATTACTTTTTTCCTTATCTACGAACACTGATCAAATTTTGATTTAATGTCAACGATATGAAATAAAATGAAACTATCAGTACTCTTCGTTAGATTCGTGTGTCGGAGTGTGAATCTGAGATCCAAGGTTCGCATCCCGTGCTTGGTGAACGTAGATGCATTATGAGCATGACGATCAAGCCAAACTATTCAATTAGAGTAGCTCAAGAGCTGGCGGTAGGTGTTGTAGACTAGCTGCCTTCGCTCTAGTCTATCAGTTCACAATTAGGGACGATTAGAGCAGATGATATAGCTTTGCGCAAATATATAAAACAAACATTACACATATCTAAATCATTATTAAACAAAAGTCAATGCGTGTCCGCTTATGACTGGCGAATCGCTGGACTGATTGTTACAAAACCTGGTATGCATTCTGAAGGCCCTACGGGGAGTGGCAGCGACGAGATGGCTTTCGGATTTCTATCTCCTATGATTTCCCCATGCGTTAAACAGATACGTCAGCTAGTTACCCTTATAAATCAGAAATTATATGTTTTACACAATGAATATAAAATAAAAAGTGGCATTAACGGTTAGATTTGAAAACTGGGATGACATTTCAGCACAGATCCATGCATGTTTATTAATAATGCCATTACTTGAATAATGGAAATGTCTGATCTAATCAGTGTTTTTGCTCATAGATAGGTAGATTTAACTGGAAAAATGCTTGATAAAATTTGAAATAGTATACTTTTTAATTGTGGATAAAAAAACAGGTTGAACAAACGCTGATTAATATAAAGTTTATCTAATTCCAAGATATATATATATTAGAATATCATATTATAACACTTAAAACTCGGCCCATTGGTTAGCGTGTAGACTATGGATTTAAGGGTCCATAATTTGAGCCCCCTCGCCTCCTCCCCCAAACAAACCCCACTGTTCAGTAACCCAGAGGTTGGCGGTGGCTGCTGCTGACTAGCTTCCTTTCCTCTAGTCTATGAGCTCAAATTTAGCGCGGCATTGTTCAATTATCAACATAAGTAAGCCTAAAATAAAATATGGCGATTACGTATTTTCTTGCTTATTTTGCCAGATAACATTGATAACTTTAGAGTTCCCGCCCAAAAAATCTATGGGCCTGGCATGGCCAGGTGGTTAGGGCACTTGACGCGCAATCTGAGGGTCGCGGGTTCGAATCCCCGTCACACCAAACATGCTCGCCCTCTCAGCCGTGGGGGCGTTATAATGTGACGGAGTTGGCGGTGAGTGGTGATGACTAGCTGCCTTCCCTCTAGTCTTACACTGCTAAATTAGGAACGGCTAGCGCAGATAGCCCTCGTGTAGCTTTGCGCGAAATTCCAAAACAAACAAACAATCTATGAACAAACTTTTAATGGCTGGAGACGGCTTGAATGGGTAATGAAAAAAAACTTTAATATAAGTTTAACATAACAGCAAATGTACAACGTTTCGACAAGGTTTTGTCATCATCAGGTACCATGACACATTATCTAATAATCTGTTCCTATAACAATGCAATAATTTGTTCCAATAACAATGCATTATTTTGTTTAATAAAGCTGCTCATACCTTAAAGCTATAGACGTAATTACTATTTGACCGTAGTCACAAAGTAAAAACTAATGCAAGGTTAGATTTTCAAAAGTTTGTTTGTTTGTTGAATTTCGCGCAAAGCTACTCGAGGGCTACTTGCGCTAGCCGTCCCTAATTTAGAAGTGATATATTAGAGGGAATGCAGCTAGTTAACACCACCCACCGCCAACTCTTGGACTACTTTTTACAAACGAAAAGTGGAATTCACCGTTACATTTTAACGTCCCCACGGCTGCAAAGGCATTTTCAAAAGTGTACTAAAATAAGGGCATGCTTTGCGTTGGTCGACCATGATCGAACAATATTTAATATACATTCTTTCTATACAAATGTATGTTTTATCTTTACATCAAAAGTTGCACAGTGGGTTATCAAAGCTACGTTCATCACAGAGATCGAACCCGTTAATTTTGGCGTTATAAACCCTCAAGTGTTGACGTATCACCTGGAGGTACATATGTAATAGAAAAGAAGAAAAAGTGCCCGCTTAAGTACTCACAAGAATATCTTTGATACTTGAAATATTCTCAGTTCAACAATTAAACATCGTAAATTTACACGTTTCATAAAAAAAAAGCATCACTATACGCCAGAGAAAGAGAAAGACCTGTTTCCACTTTATCTGTATAACACCATATTTATCTGTAACACGAGCTCACACAAAATGTTGACTGCTGGTGAAAGATTGATCGGTAATTAACGAACGTATCATAGTAATTTCATATATAGCTGCTTCTACGTATCTGCGTGGCTATTTATCTCTCAGATAATTCTTTCATCTGCCTATTTATTTAGTTATTCTGACCTCAACCTTTTATATAAAAAAAAAGCTTGACTCAGCTGACGTTATAGAAATATTACTCCCTCCAGAGAGACAGAGAATTTTTCAGAACATTATTATTCTAAATAGTCATAATTTTTTTGCTTCTAAAACGTAGCATCGTTCTAGAAAAGTATTTTTTATTTCTTTTCCTAATCTACGCTGGTCCTGATCGAAAAATCGATCATGTTTTGTAAAACACACCGTATCGTCCAGACATAGACGTTTTCTCTACATCTGGAAAAAATCCCAATAAAAAGCTCATTGAGAAGAACTGGCGTCTATCTGATGCAAGTTGGATCTCTTCTAAAACAAGATCATTAACCAGTTCTGGGTTGTACGTCTAGACCTATTTGTCTGGACTTACTAGGCCTATTTGTTACAAAATCGGACATTTTTTTTTGTTTTTGAATTTCGCGCAAAGCTACACGAGAGCTATCTGCGCTAGCCGTCCCTAATTTAGCAGTGTAAGACTAGAGGGAAGGAAGCTAGTCATCACCACCCACCGCCAACTCTTGGGCTACTCCTTACCAACGAATAGTGGGATTGACCGTCACATTATAACGCCCCCACGGCTGAAAGGGCGAACATGTTTGGTGTGACGGGGATTTGAACCCGCGACTCTCAGATTGCGAGTCAAGCGCCCTAACCACTTGGCCATGCCGGGCCTAAACCGGACAGACTGAAGTGATAATATTATATACATATTTTCAAGAGTTCGTTCGTTAAACATTTTCAGAACTAGCGAAAATTTTTTAATTAACTTATTCGAAACGGAAAATATCAAGAATTTGAAAAAGTGCCGTTTAATTGTCACGTTGAGCTTGCTAAACTATTTGTAATAGAATATTCACGTTGAAGCACGTGGGAACATTATGTCAACCTCAAAAATACAAGTAATGGACTAAAGTGAAGGCAGCTAATCAACAGTATCTACCGCCAACTCTTGGGATACTCTAATCTAATAGTGGGATTTAACTGCGTACCTACCGCCAACTCTTGGGATACTCTAATCTAATAGTGGGATTTGACCGTCACAACTAGAACGCACCCATGGCCCCAAAGTATAGACCGCGATTATTTCGTTGTTGTTGTTGTTGTTGTTTTTGCGGCAAAGAGATGCGAACTATTAACTCTACAGTCCGGCATGATATCTATTAAACCACACCATGCTTTCGAAACACAAGTATCACAAACTTTGTCAGCGGTATCTTTGGCTTTACTTAAATATTTCATTCGTACTTAAGTAACAAAGAATTGTAATTGGTCTTTACGAGCCAATCCGTACCCAAATTATCAGACATTTTTTCGCTTCTCAGTGGCTCAGCGGTAAGTCTGAAGGCTTCTAATGCTAAAAACCAGGTTTCGATACACGTGGTAGGAACAGCATGTAGCTTTCTGATCAAAAACAAACAATAAACAGACATTTTACAAAACTGAACTGAAATCTAGATATTGAATGAAGAAGAGATTTGTAGTTAAATCCTATATCTGTTTCACTGAGATTTGTAGTTAAATCCTATATCCGTTTCACTGACTACCAAAAACAAAACAAAATAAAAGTTCAGTTCAAATAACGAACCGGGTTACACTTAGAGCCGCGCTTGGCTTAACGGTTATCGTGTTCGGACTATGAATCTATTGATTTGTTGTTCACAGCACCTTACTTCAAAAACGCACGCACTGCGTACTTAAGGTCATGGATGCGTTGTATAAGTGATCCTCAAATCCTAGTTTTTGGTCAAGAGCTCACAATTAAGAGCGGTTATGTAGCTTTGGGCGAAAAATATAAAATAAACTAGAATAGCAAATATGATGTATTAGAAACATGAACTAATTTAAAATGCAATGAAAAATGTGTTTTGTTAAAGTGTAGCTTTAATTCACTTCTTACAATAAAGCATCATACGTTAATTTTGATTGGTGTATAAATTGTATCAATAATATTTCCCAAGCTATAGAGGTTCTAATAAAATTCTTATTTATTTTTAGGCCGTTTGGGTTTGTGTTGAATGTATTCGACGAAGATCTCAAATCTCAAGCAGCCAATCACGAAAACCAGACTACAGAGGAGATCAAGAGTCGTCATATCAGAATTTACATCTAGCGCCATCTGGCAGTAGAAAATCCCAGCATGGATACAGGCATGAAATCTCGACACTTTCTACCTCCAGCAGTGCTCAGTCGGCTGAAATGGTAAGCAATAAAGGAGAATGCAAGTAAGAAAAAAACATTTTAAGAAAGGATGGTAAAAATATTTGAAAGTTATACGGTGTGATACATTTTTTACAGTAAATATCCGTCAAAGGACTAGCAAAATTTGAATTCGCCATATGCTAAATATAAGGCTGGGGATGAATGGACAGGTTTATTAAACGTACGATAGAGTTTTAGCAAAATTCTGACGACAAACAGGACTTCCAAAATGAAAATGTAAAATCGAATGCTTGCTATATTTTGCGTTTATTTACCCTTAACATACAAAGAAAATAAAACTACTAAAACAATAAAAGTACCTGTTGCCTCAATTGGTGTCCCTCCAGTGGATCAACGGTAACTTTATGGACTTACAATGCTAAAAGCCAGGGTTCGATTCCCTGTTGTGGACAGAGCACAGATTACCTATTGCGTGGCTTTACGCTTAATCAAACAAGGCCCGGCATGGCCAAGTGGATAAGGCGTTCGATTCGCAATCTGAGGGTCGCGGGTTCGAATCCCCTTCCCACCAAACATGTTCGCCCTTTCAGCCGTGCAGGCGTTATAACGGGACGATCAATCCCATTGTTCGTTGGTAAAAGAGCAGCCCAAGAGTTGGCGGTGGGTGGTGATGACTAGCTGGCTGCATTCCCTCTAGTCTTACACTGCTAAATTAGGGACGGCTAGCGCAGATAGCCCTCGTGTAGCTTTGCGCGAAATTCAAAAACAAACAAACAAACAATAATCAAACAAAAGACTCCTCACTTGAAAGCACTTAAGAAGCGCTAGCTAGTGAGGTGACGTGTGGGTTAATGTGGTATGTACAAGACAACCTTTTTTTTTTTAAACTTCTGCAAGTCTAATGTCAGTCGAGAATCTAATCTCTCTATAACCCTCTACTATTGGTCTAAGCTACTACGTTTTTAATCACCACATAATATTATCTTCCACCAAGACAGAAGTAACATTAATATAAAAGTAAGGTTATATTCCTTAATAGTTTTGTAATTTGCCCTTGTTCAAACCTTATTTGAGATTAACTGTAGACTATACAAAGTTTTGACGTTAATCAATTTTATATATGTGTGTAAGTATGTATATTTACGTGTGTGTAATGCACTGGGAGATATTGTTTTATAATATAGCCTTTAATGCATAAAGGTGATTCTAGGACTAAATGAAACATTACTAGACAAACGCAATGAAAAAGTAGAAAGATGTGGGTGTAAACATAAATTATACCTCATATCTTAGCTCCATCTAACTTCGCAGTACGTAATATACACGTATTTGAGTTAATGACACCAAGTTATAACTCGATAATGGAATACTGAGGAGATTCTCTTAGCCAATCAGATCTAAAATATTTTACAAGTCTTGTATAACTCTAGTAAGGCACAAATTGTCAAATAAAACTGAACTGTATTTATTTGTTATTTTTATACCTTGAAAAGACGACTAGGGGGTCATTCTTAGGCTATTTTGAGTTAATCAAATATTTGTATATTTCTTGCTGCAGTTAATATTAAGTGTATAAGCAGGAATAACATAAACATGTTAAAGTCGCCTTAAATAACAGTATTAAGTAGTGGTTGAATAATTATAAGACTCTATATAGTGCAAAATGTGCAAACTTTTTTAAAAATGAAATTAAATATTACATGCTTTATGTTGAGGATAAGCTCCTGATTAGCTGTTTAAAATGATGAGGAATGTTGAGGAATAAAAGTTTATTTCCATATATTACAGCTATTCGTTCATCTGGTTCTCTTAGGCTGAAATAGGTATATATTTAATTAGGTTTTTGAATTGCCAAAGGATATATTGTTTTAACCATTTTTGTTATTGTTTCAGCAACAAGACGAACAACATCAAGTATCCAAAACTTGTAAGAACTTGTTTTGTATATTCCACTCTTCAGCTTTTGTTATTTCAATTTTTACATAACTCAAAAATTCGAAAACTTGTTAGTTCCTTTAAAAAAATTAAAGCAGGATTCATTATATACTCTCACTGCTAATAGTTAATGAAGCTTTGACCTTATCCTCTTAATAAAACAATGCTATATTTAAATTATTTAATAATTTGCAATATAACGTTTACAAAGACACAAGTGAATTAAATTAAGTGTTGCAAATGAAATATAATACTTGAACTTCCATAATAAATGTGATGATCACCCTAAAAGTTTAAGATTGTTAAATAGTTAATAAACAGGGCATATTCTTTTAAATTAATTTTATTTTTATATATCTGAATAAATAATTACGGCGCTAAAAGTCATTGAATTAATTTAGCCAATGCAATATCAGACACCCCTTTCCCGTTTCTTCAGGTGTGGATCAAATGGGTCAAACACAGCACTCAGATTCCAGAAAAAGCGTACAACCTCTGGAAAGCAAGATGCAAAGATATGATTCACTTGGAAGTATGTCCCAGGATACGAAGAACTGCCGCACCATTAGAAAACAACTCTCTCAGGAATATGTGGAACAATCATCACTGCCCATTTCTACAGCAGGGCAGTCCACCCATCAAGAAAAATCGCTGCAGTCTATGAGTCAGATTAGGACCCAACAGCCGTCATTACCCTGGGCTCCCGTTTCCCCAGCACTTCAACCCAATAATCAGGACAAATCACAACAGCCGTCATTACTCTCGACTTCAGATTCTGTAACGGTAATGTCAATCAATCAAGTCAAAGCCCATCAATCTCAGGTTTCTTCTCAGAAAGATGTTTCTGGGTATCCCTCAGAATACTCAGATTTAGTCGATGTCAAGTCTATACCTATTTCGAATATGCACACCATCAATTACGACAATGGTCAAGTCACTAGAACTGAAAGTGATGAAAAACATCTATCCTCGGCTTCTTATTTTTCTTCCTCTCAGAATGTCTCTCAACAACAAAAGGAACAGCAGCAACGACAACAACTGACTACTTACGAACCATCTAAACCAAAGACTATCGACTTACAGAGCCAAAAGAAACAGAAACAACGGTCTGACAGCCAAGAGTGGTCTCCAGTGATAGATCTTTCTCCAATTGTTGATGTTTCTCCTTCTGTGGAAGCAGCAGAACAGGAGCTCATGGGGACGTTTCAAGACATTAATGAATACGAGGAACTTATTCCTCAGATGTCTATGCCGAGAGTAACCAGTGGTACCATACCAGAAATGTTAGCAAATTATCAGAAGTCTTTAGAACAAACACTAGAAGAGACTCAACAAACTTTATCTTCGGAAGGAGCCCAATTAGAAAAGACGTTTCCAGAGGCTGTCAGAGCTGATAAAGAAATCTCTTTAACAAGTATAAACCAGGCTACAGTTTCTCGAATCACCGAGAAGACAAGACCAATACCCAAGGAACAGTCAGCTCCTATTTCTATTGCTCAGATTGTCACTACTCAATCTCAGAGTCCGAAAGCAGCTAGCAGTCGTCGAATCCACAGGAGACTACCCCAGCCTACCCTTGAACAAATGCAAGAAGCAATAGCTTTAGCAGCTCAAACTCCAAAGTTTAAGTCACCACAACATCGAGGACAAACGACGTCAATTTATGATTCTCAACCCCCCAAAGAGCAGGGAAGTAGTGGCGAAGTACCCGCTGGACGAAACGTTTCGCCAGTTATTTCGAAAAAAGGTTTAACGGAGAAAATTCAAAGTCATCAGCAGCAACATAAACCTCTACTACAGTCAGAATTTGAGCAAAGGAATCAAATGATAAAAGTTGCGGCAGGGGATACAAAAAAAGTTGTACTTCGAGCTGCGACATCCACTATAAATGCTACCGCAACAACGCAACCTTTTGCTATACAGCCTACTGCCGTGACCCGCAGCTTGATGGTGTCTGAAGCTGGAACTCCTCTTCAATCATCTGCAATCTTGTCCTATGGCAGTAGCACACAAGCAGCGCCCTCTGTTTCTTCGCAGTTTGGTATGATGTATAGTAATAGCCAAACCTTGATGATGCGTTCTCCTTTCTTGGATAGCCGAAAGTACGTTCCTGAGTTGAAGCAAGAAATGTTTGCTGCGAGAGGAACACAGAACATAAACTTTGGTTACATTAGATCATCTTCAGTCCCTGACTCTGTCAGTAAGATTGGGACTTATACACAAGCTCAAAGAGATAAGGTATTTATCGCTCATAACAATACTTTACAGATTTTTTTCTCTTAAATTAAATTTGTTTTTTGTTGTTGTTGTTTTTTTCAAAATTCAGTAATTATTAGACTATGGTATACCAACTTGTTATACCATAACTTATAGCATAACATTACACTTAAAAAGATCACCTAAACTTAGCACCACAGTTATTATTTTACTATTTCATACAGTCCAAATACTGGTGGAAATCGGAGCGGACAGGGGGTGTACCAATCGTTAACGTATCTGACTAAATATCCAAAGGCTCACAGTTCGTGTCACTCTACCTCCCCCCAAAAAAAATTAAAATACGTGCTACGCATTTAAAGACCATAGACGCGTTATAAGAGTGAAGGACAAATCCTACTATTCGATTGGAGTAGGCTAAGAGTTGACTAACTGCCTTCCATCTAGTCTACCATTTCAAAATTAGGATGGTTAGAGCAAATAGCATTTGTGTAGCTTAGTACAAATATCTGAAACAAACCAAAAAACATATCTCTTGCCTTCTTCCTTGACGAATTAATTCGAAAGGTAACATAAAGATTGAAAGCAACCCTCATTCTCGTTGGAAAACAAACAAACGTACAAAGATCATTGTTTAAAGTTAAATTGACCTGTACAGTGGACAATAAAAATGAAAGGTCTTTACGGTTAAATTGCTGTGTACAGTGGGCAAATCAATGATCGCTTTTTTTTTTTTGTACGTGTGTGGGTTAATCCTAATTTCAGTATATTATTTCAACATACATTATATGTTGAAGCAAACGACGTATCAATTTGTCCCCGGTGGGACAGCGGTAAGTCTTCGGATTTACAACGGTAAAATCCGAGGTTCGATTCCCCTCGGTGGACATAGCAGATAGCCCGCTATGGCTTTGCTATAAAACACACACACACACACAATCGTGTGAATTTGATAATAATTGCAGTGGAGTAAAATTTTTTTAATATTTAAGTTATATCCATTTCTTAGAAGGTAGTTGGTACTTTTAACCTGAATGAAACCTCGTGCGACACGTGGCCTAAAAAGTCAGGACAGATCAGAGACACAGCCGTCCCTAATTCAGAACTTCTGATCAGAGGGAGGAAAATCAGTTAGCAGCACATGTCGAAATAGACGGTTATCTTTAATCAATATGTGTAATTGATTGTCAATTTTATAACTTGCCCATCGCTGAAAGTGAGGAACTTGTTCAGTAGCATTTTGTGGACTCGAACTTTGACTTTCTTATCCACAATCGACATGCTGACCACTAGGCCAATTATTCCCAAACTTTTCTACTCCAAGAATCGGCAAAATCTTTATGTAAAAAAGCTTACAGACCTTCAGGAGAATATAGGCTTTGCATTTGTGACTTATGTTAACCATACATTGCCTAAAGATGGCCGCTTCTATGGGATAAAAATGTCGCAGTTTTAATTGCTTAAAAAACAAAAACGTTTTCACTGTATAGCTGATCACAATATTTAATTTCCATGTTATTAATGTTTCAGTCGAATGAAAATAGCTTTTCCTTTTAGGCTGGAGATTCATCTGACACGCAAAGTGAGACAGGAAGTTCAACATCAGCCAAACTTCGACGGCAACTTCCACATCCACCACCAAATCAAGAAGTGTCTTCCATCGCAAACATCCGTCGCCGAAAGGATCGAAGAAGAAATCTGTCTGTTGGTAGCAGTCCACTTATGATTCAAGAAAGACATCAGCTTAAAAAATTACCTGATCGAGCATCATCTTTAGAAGAAAGTATTCCGAAAACATTGGATTATAACATCACGAGAACAGATCCTCTTGCCTATCTCCCAACACACACAGAAGCCTACATCAACCAATTGTCTGACTCAGTATCTGGATTTTATTTGCCTAAAACAACAGATGCCTACTTTCCTTGCTCGACGATGACAACAGAAGCGCCGAAAGACAGTTCTGCAACCAAAGCAGCAACTCAACAGTTGATCCAGCCATCAGATCTCAATGTGTCTCGAGCATCTATTCCTTCTTACATGTACAGCTTAAAACAACAACTGCGTGAGGAATTAAAGACGGTTACACAGGAAAGAATAAGGCTTGCAGGTCTGAAAGAAAAGGGCCAGGAACTGGGCTTACGTCATAAAAGTGAAACCGATATTGCTTCTCTGTTACTAACATCCTCCAGTTTGGGCGACCTGTATGGAAATAAGAGAATCCGTTCAGGCGCTGTGAGAACAATATCTACGTCTGCACAGACATCTCCTCAGGATAAAGAGAAGGTCGTATTTCTCCAGAACCCCTCAGAATGCAATGTAGAAATGAAAGATATGTTTAATACAAAGGAATATCTAGATTCTTCTGCTAACTTATCACCTTATACGTCGTTTCGTGACGAGACTCCAGTATTGGTTCACTCTAGAACATTTGAGTCTTCTCGTGGACGGGATTTACCAGATGATGGATCTGGCCCGTCCTGGTATACGGAAACATTAGACAGAGGCTTAGTTAGCCATTATCACCAACGAAGAATGTATCCACAAGACAGCCCGATAGAAGAGATTCAAGATATACCTTCTTTTCGTCTGAGAGAGATTGTTTATTCCGATAACATTAAAGATCAAAGAGCCCTATTTGGTAGCTATAAAAGGGGGCGGATAACGTGAGTTTGATTAAAAAAAAATATTACAAAACAGGGTTTTAGTTAAAAGATATAAGTGAATAGAATATTTACATTAGCAGTGACAAAAATAGACCGAATATTAATTTCAGATATAATAATAAAATAAGCAGAAAATATTTTAAACCATATATAAACTAAATCTAAGTTATTTTGCAACTGTTTCTAACACCCTTTTCTGTGTGGAGCCTTAATCATTTCAAGTATTTATATTACACAATCTGTACAATATAGTTCTATTTCTCTAATCCCACCTCCCTTCTTCGGTGGCTCAGCGGTAAGTCTCAAGGCTTAAAACGCTAAAAGCCGGGTTTCGATACCCGTGATCAGCACAGCACAAATACCCCATTATGCAGCTCTGCGCTTAACAAGAAATATAATCTAAATCTTTCTATCAGTTTAATATTACACTTAAGTGGCTAGCTGCAGTTGTGCTTCTTTGGTGGATAAATGCGTCTGTGTGTTGATTGATAACTGGCTAGCACGTAAGAGTCGTACTGCTTCTCTGGTGGACAAGGGCGACTCTTTATTGATAATTGGTTAACTCACAATAGTTGTTCTTCTCAGGTGGACAAGTGCAACTGTATTTTGATAATTGGTTAGCACATACGTAATAGTTGTAAAATTGTGCTTCCAATTGAAATGAAACTTTTAAAATCCTCAAATGTAAAATGTTAATGCAGTGTTCAGAAAATAATAAAATCGGTATCACTTTACTTATTAAAAAGTTTTTTTTTTTTTTGCAAAAATTATTCGTGAATTAAAACTGCTATTTTCCAGTTATCCAAATCCAATAACACAGGCCTACGATGGTTTTATTGTCTTGAAATTGTACATGTTCTACAGTAATTTCTGTACGCTGAATTCGAAAATGATATCCATTTTTCTCCGTCA